AATCTGAGATAACAAGGTGTAGAGCTGGATGAACTCAGCAGGCCAAGCAGCATCTGAGGAGCAGGAAAGCTGATGTTTCGGGCCTAGACCCGAAACTGAAAAAGTTTCTGAAGAAGGGTCTAGGCCCGAAACGCCAGCTTTCCTGCTCCTCTGATGCTGCTTGGCCTGCTGTGTTCATCCAGCTCTACACCTTGTTATCTCAGATTCTCCAGCATCTGCAGTTCCTGCTATCTCTGAGACAGAGATGTTGGCTGGGGAACACAATGGGCATTGAAGTGACAGGCAACTGGAAGCTCAGGATTTTTTTTGTGGACAGAATGTAGGAAATGGTCACCCAGTCTGCGCTTCATTTCCCCACTGTAGAGGAGACCACATTGTGAATACTTTATGATCACCATTATTTCAATGCTTGCCTCACACTGTTTAAAAAGAATAGGTTAATGCCAATATTAAAAATATTGCCAATCAGAAATTCTAGCATTTCATCTCCAGGTATCTTTGACATGCTTTTTCATGTTGATTTGGTATTTACAAATTGTACAGTTGGCACTAAATGGAGGAACTTTTTCATTGCCCAGTTTGAGCAGGTTGGATCTTTCTTACATGGAATTTCAGTGGAATATCAATTGGCCTCTGGCCATGTGGCCAACTTGGATACGAGCTGATTCCCAGTTCAAAGATACCAATACTGACTAGGACAAGTTTTCAGATGGAAGGTATAGTAAACAGTTGTGAAGTTCTGGCTGTTAGCCTACAAGCAGTTCTGTAAAGGCAATAAATTGAGCCTTTCTCACCTCTTTCACACCCAAGGCCCAGGCATTAACACTCAATTGCTGCAGCTACATTTTTGTCATATTCATTCATGGAATATGGGAATTGCTGGTTGGCCCAGCAGTTATTGTCCTTCCCTAATTGCTGCTTCTTGAATAGCTCCAGTCTTTGAAGGACGTCATGGAGCTGTTAGGAAGGAAGTTACTGGATTTTGACACAGTGACACTGTGATATGGTTCCATGAAAGGATATTGTGTGGTTTGGAAGGGAATTTGCAGGTGGGGGAGTTCTCATACATCAGTAGCCCTTGTCCTCTGGGGTGATAGAGGATGCGGATTGGTAGGCTGGCTTTTAGGAGACTTGGTGTGTTATTGTAGCACATCTTGTGAATGTGTGTCGGGTATGTAGGGCGTGAATTTAGAAAGTGGTGGATGGATACCAATCAAATGAGTTGCTGTATCCTGGGTGTCAAATTTATTGAATGTTGTTGGAGCTGCACTGATCCAGGGAAGTGGGAAGCTTTCCATCACAGTCCTGACTCGTGCCTTGTAGAAGGTGGGCAGACACTGGGGAGACAAGGAGGTGAGTTGCTCGCCGCAGAATTCTACCCTCTGTCCCACTCCTGTTGCCACTATGTGTAGAGCTAGTCCATTCAGTTTCTGGTCAGTGCTAATCTGCAGGATTTTGCTGGTTGGTGAGGGATGCGTGATGGCGGTGCCATTGAATTTCAAGGAAGGATTGGTTAGATTATCTTTTGATGAAGACAGTCATTGCCTGACACTTGTGAGGTATGAATGTTACTTGTCACTCATCTGTCCAAGCCTGGATGTTGTCAAGATCTTGCTGCATTAGCTACATTTTGCTTCAGTGCTGGAGGAGTTGCTAATAGAGCTGAACATTGTGCAGTCATCAGTGAACGTCCCACTTCTGACCTTATGATGGAGGATGGGTCATTGATGAAGCAGCTAAAGATGGTTAGGCCTAGAACACTACCCTGAGGAACTTCTGCAGAGATATTTTGGAGATGATTAACCACCAGCAACCAAAAGTTCATGGATTCTTGATCCGACCTCGAGATGATGTGTGACACAGATGTCAACCATTTTGCCTTTGGAAGGAGGAATAAAAGGGGAAAGCAAAAGTTGTCCCAATTAACTTCATGTACTCCGCTCACCCAAAGACCAGTGGTATGAGAAACATCTCCACATTGCTGGTTCAAAGAGAGATGCTGTGTAACTGCTGGGACAGGAAATCTTTCTTTTCTGCTCCTCGGCTTTGGTTTTTAGATCTTGCGAACAGTTGTGTTGGAGCATAATACTGTGCATTCAGCTACTATTATAATAATCTGTGCTGTGATGGCCTCCAATACAATGCATATAGCTTCATCTCTGAGAGAAGGTAGCGTTCATCAAGCTTTGATGGGTGATTCTCATCCTGCCGTTCCCACTTGCTTTTCCTGCAGGCAGCCTCCTAAGAGATCACCCTTTAAGGAGTGGGATCTGTGATACCACTTTAAGGGATGGGGCCTCCACACCTCAGTTGTGCACTGTCCCCTTAAATTTTAGACCAGTACTGCAAGGTTTTGAATTTCCTGCCTGAAGCTCATCAATACTGTGTCCTGTGAGTCAGTCTCCTGGTAGTTCAGAGCACTTCCATTCAGTCAATGTAGCCAAATACAAGACATCAACTTTTACTGGGCTGCGACAGACAGATAAAGCAGAGAGGCAAAGTAAACTGTGTTGAATTTTATTTAAATTATATGCAAATGAACAAGCAATCTTATAGAGGATAAAGCGGAGGGCAGCAGAAAGAGGGGATGACCTAGGCATAGTTGCTCAATGGACATCGCAACAGTTGCAGGCAAGTAACAATGGATATGTGAGGGTGGACCGACACAGTAGAAAGTATTGTATCCATGGGCAACAGATCTCCTGCAGGGCAGCTAAACATATAGGTTATGGATGAATTTTCCATTTTGTTTCCTTCCTGTGCAGAGTTAATCATTTGTAATTTTCCTGCCACTGGGAGTCTGATCCACAGATGCAAACCCAACTGGTTTGAAGCTATTTTTTTAAAGTGACCATATTTAGTGCCACTAGTTTCCTGGGCACTGTTGACTTAATCTTGAAGGTAGGACTTAACTCAATTTGAAAATGTTTTAAAATAATGAGTGTTCGTGAAATGTAGATAGATGTATTGAAAATAGGAACCCACCACTGGATGTTATGAGACCCAACCTGCTACTGCACCACCACTGACTTCATCTTTATATCTCAACCTACCGTCCAGGAACCTGAGATATCGACCTCTACCTAACTGAATCCTCCCACCTTCCATGTTCCCTTCTCTTACACACCTCAGTGGATTCTGCCCTATCTCTTTGAATTGGAAGATAGATAAAATAATAAGAAAATATGGATACAAGTGTTATATATTTGAAAAACCTTAAATTGGAATGTCACTCTAATTGTTGTAAAAACTCTTCAACTGTTGAATCCCAGTATCTTAAAACTGGGGCCTGGGTCCTGACTGATGGCCTTTTGATATTCCACTGAAGCCCTGTGGACAGGCTTTTTTCATCATTAAAAATACATCAGAAAGAAAATTACATTTGTGTTTCTGGCGCATGACTGCTTCTAAGGCAGAAAAAGATGATTTTGAGAAATGGCTAAATGTTGCATTCTAATGACCAGAAACCTGTTTTATAAGGAAAATGATTCTTCTTCTTTTGAAATTAACCATTTATTCAAATAACCTTGACATGTAGTAACCTGCAAGTTCCTATTGAAGATGGTTCGTTAAGCCTTCATAGTGCATTGCGCCAGAGATGGTGTCAATTGAAACCTGTATTTACTGACTTCTTGTCTTGTTCAGGTCTGATTCAGGCTCCAGAAAAAAGAGGAGGCATAGGTAAGCACAGGACACCGTCTGATGCAGTTGTAAAACGTCCATTCAGTGCTCATTGCTAATGCTCACCAACCATTCCATTCACAAGGATCATATTTTAAACTCCAGTGAAATATGAAAATCAAATTTTGATATTCCAAAAATTGCCACCTTTTCCTAAGTCCAAAACCATACTCTGGGCTGGCGAGATTGTGGATAATGTCCAAACTTTTCTTTGTTGCTGCAATTCATTGACTCCCAATAAGCAATGGCTCTATTTCAGGAGACAGAAAAATGAAGTGGTAAGGGAAAGGTGGGCAACATCTTCCAAACTCAACAGCTGGGGAAGTGCAATCAATAGCTAAATATCTGTTCAGTAACCAGAATGTTTGATGGTATCATCTTTGAAGATACAATAAAATTTGTATCCTGGAATTTGTTACATATCTGTTGCATGTGAATGATTCACTTCTGTCCTTAGACTGAAAGCAATTTGGGTGGACGGTACAAATTAATCTGATTGTATTTTCAATCTGAAAGAGCCAGAGAAACATGGGACTGTACTGCTTTTCGTCTGTGTCATTGCTTCCAGAATTGAGACTTAAGTCAGTTATAATTCTATTGACACATGTTCAACTGCGATGTTATAGCTACTGGAACATTCTCGGAATTTTAATATACCTTAAGTACTATAAAAAAAGTACAATTTTTATAATTGATCTAAAGGTTGCTTAAAGGTAGTGCTGAAAGCAACAACGCAGGACCCTATCAAATTTGGTTGAACCAAAACAATATTACTATACATCAAGAAGGTCTGGTTACATGATGCTATGCTTATATTTTAAAATTCTGTACCAATAACTTGCACTTACAGGGTGCCTTTAACATAGTGAGCATGCTAAGGTGCCTCACAAGAATACATTGAGACAGCAAATGACATGGTGCCATATAGGGGGTCTTAGGGAAAGAGATCTAAAACTCAGCTGACTGTAACCCTCGGTCCAGTCCCCACCATATCCCTCAACCTTTGTTGGCAGAACCATCAGCTACCTTGGTTTTAATCTTTGGAATGATCTCCCTAAACTTCCCTGAATACTTCTCAATTTCAGTCCACCTTCAATAAACATCTTCAAAACCTATTTCCCAATTCTAGTCTTCACCTAATTTAGTCTTTCCCTTCCTGGCCTGACACACAGTTTCATTTTGCCTACTCGTGCAAAACTTTTAGACATTACTTATACAGGTGGAATATCTCAAACACCAGAGTTTCAGAAAAGTTTTTACAATGTACAGCTTATCATTTTGAATTAAGTAAAATAAAAAATAACCTATCTGGATAATTCAGGTAGGCACTGCAGTGACATGATGCAGCTCAGGACTAGTTATCAGCTTTCTCGCTTGCTGGCTGGTTTATTCCTGCACTGTGTCCTTTGACCCCACTTGACCAAGCTTTCCCAAACAACCTAACCCAAAATCCAGTTAAAATGAATTAAGGCAAAATACTCCATTTTCCAAAGCTAGCATTCTCAACCATGATGAGCATAAAAATTAATCAAAAAAAAAATACTTTACCACAAGAAATTCACCTGCTGAAAAGTTTGTGGTCTGAAATCAGAGGCAGGTCTGTGGCCTGTGACATTCTGGAGAAATTCTATATTTTTCCCTAATTTGCATTCATTTGTCTGTAGGTCTACAACTCCTAAAAGCAAACGCAAAGACAGAAACAAACAAAGAAAGCGGTAGGTTGAAATATTTAATAATCAGCTTTGTTGTCTTTTGTTCTTTGTTTTTGTCATTACTGGAATTAATTTAAAACTGTCAGTCAATGTACGTTCATCCAAACACAAGAATCTCATCTGATGACGAATATAAATTGGTCAATTTGGAAACATCATATGACAATGCTTTAATGTGAGCAACAGGATTCAACACCAGTTAGATACAGGGACCAAATTCACCTTCAACCTTTTAGAATGCATACAATTACAATCATAATGCTGCCTAGAGAAGATTCTGTTCCTCCATTCACTTGTGTTCTCTGTCATAAATGTATTTTTATGCTCCTTTTTAACTTGAATTTTGAGTTCAGTTTGTATCAATAACTTTTTTTTATTTTACACAAATCTTTGAAGAGGTAGTTATACTTAATATCTGGAAGGTGGTGTGAGAGAAGCACAGTTCCATGAGAACATCCCACTTAGTACAGATCGGTACAGTACAGTTTTGCTCCTGATCTCCACTTGCATCTCTATCAGACCCAATGCTGTCAGCATACTGGTGTGCAACAAGCCGTACGAAGATGACTGTGCAAGTGAGAGAATCACAACAATATGAATTAATCTGTCTCACGGCAGAGACAGTATAGAAACATGGAACAATCCGCCTAGATCTTGTGAGGCTGTGTACGTCCCTATCTCTGAGTCAGAAGGTCTGGCTTCAAGTCCCATCTGCTCTGGAGATGTGCCATAGCATGTCCAAACAGATTGATTAAAAATACCGTTATAAATATAGACCAAACACAGTCACTTATAACCTTTTGAAAGGTGTTGACTATCAGTCAGCTGCTGTTTCATTTCACATGTCCACATTTACCAATTGCTATTGGGAGAAACTGACCTGAATCAGTCTGATACTCTGAGAAGTAGCACAAAGCATGTGTTTTAAACACAGGTGAGAAACTCCATCTCTAACCTCACTTAGATGCGCACATGTACCGACATCATATCATTAAGAAAAAGAATTGGCTATCTCGGCCCCCAGGGCCTGCTATATTGTTCAACCTGCTCACTGGCACTTCGGTGCCATTTTCCTTTCTTTGTCCCATAAACTTTGATACTCGTATATGTCAACTGTACTAACATCCACAGCCTGTTGGATGACACCCTTCCAAATTTCTGTTTTCCTTTCTGTAAATAAATAAATCTTGATATGAATTTCCTGGTAAGGCTCTCCATAGATATTTAAATCGAAGAGAGTTAATAAAGTGAGCTTTTATCCTATAAAGAGAGAGTCCATGGAAAATAAGGAGATAGCATTTGAATTGAATAGGGATTTTCTATTGGTCTTCACTTTGAAAAACAGAACAATCACAGACTTAACTATGCTGCATACGGAGGCCATTCGACATATTATGTCTGCATTGGCTGCCTGTGTAGTCTGACTTTCTGCTAATTTCTGCCTTTCCCCCATAGCCTTTATATTGTTTCTACTTAAACAACCATCCATTACTGGCTTGAATTCCTCAGTTGAACCTATCTCCACCACATTTGCAGGCAGCATATTCCATAACCTAACTACTCGGTGGGTGAAAAAGTTTTCTGTCTTCTCACATTTGCTTCTTTTGCAAAACACTTCAAAACCGTACTCTTGCGTTCCCGATCCTTTTATGAGTAGAAACAGCTTCTATCTATCTACCCTTTCCAGACTCCTCATGATTTTGAAAACTTCTATCAAGTCTTCCCTCAGCCTATTCCTCCCTAAAGAAAACAGTCCCAACCTCTCCAATCTTTCCTCATGACTGAAGTTTCTCATCCATGGAACCATTCTTGTTAACCCCTTCTGCACTGGGGTTGAGCCATTGTCCTATATGGGTTCATTATAACCTCCCTTCTCTTGAAACCCATGCCCCTGTTAATGAAGGCTAGAATACTGTATGCTTTTCTAACAGCTCTCTGCCTCTCTCATCACTTTAATAATTTACACAAATATATGCCCAGGACTTGCTGCTCCTGTACACCTTTACAGTAGTACCCTTTATTTTATACAGCATTCCCACATTTTTTGTATCAAAGTATATCACCTCACACTTGCTGCGTTGAACTTCATCTGCAACCTATCTGCACAGTCCACCAACTTGTTAATATCTTTTTGAAGTTCTACGCTATCCTCCTCCTAGTTTGGAGTTCTCCCAAGTTTTGTGTTATCTGAAATTATCCCCAACACATCAAGATCTAGATTATTTCTATATATTGGAAAAAGCAAGGGTCCCAAGACCAACCCTTGGGGAACTCTGCTACAAACCAGCCTCCACCATGAAAAATACTATTTCTCTCTGTTTTCTATCACTCAGCCAGTTTTGTATCCACATTGCTGTTGTCCCTTTTATTCCATGAACTATCACTTTCCTCACAAGTGGCACAGGATTGTGTGCATTTTGGAAGTCCATGTACACCCCATCAAGAATCATTCTCTCATCAAATCTTTCTCAAATCTTCCATCAAAAACCTCCACCAATTAGTTATAGACAATTTTTCCTTAATAAATCCATGCTGACTTCCAAATGAACCCACATTTTTTCCATGTGATTATTACTTCTATCCCAAATACTTGTTTTAGAAGTCTCCCCACCACTGAAGTTAAACTGACTGATCTGTAACTTTTGGACCCACCTTTTAGAACCTTTTTGAACAAGGTGTAATGTTTGCAATTTTCCAGTCATAGAGTCATACAGCACGGAAACAGACCCTTCAGTCCAGCCAGTCCATGCCAAATTTAATCCCAAACTAAACTAGTCCTACCTGCTTGTTCCTGGCCCATATCCCTCCAAACCTTCCCAATTCATGTATCTATCCAAATGTCTTTTGAATGTGTAATTGTACCCGCATTCACCACTTTATCAGGAAGTTCATTCCATCACCCTCTGTGTAAAAATTTGCTTCTCCTGTCTCTTTTAAATCTGTCACCACTCGCCTTAAAAATGTGCCCCAGTCTTGAAATTCCCTATCCTAGGGAAAAGACAACTACTATTAACTCTATATACACCCCTCATTCTTCTTTAAACTTCTTTCAGGTCGTTCCTCAACCTCCTACGCTCCAGTGAAAGAAGTCACAGCCTATCCAGCCTTTCTTTATAACTCAAACCTTCCATACCCGGCAACATCCTGGTAAATGTCTTCTGAATCCTCTCCAGTTTGATAATATCCTTCCTATAACTGGGTGACCAGAAATGGACACAGAGGTCTCACCATGTCCTGTACAACCTCAACATAACTTTCCAACTCCTATACTCAAAGGACTGAGCAATGAAGGCAAGCATGCCAAATGCCTTTTTATTCATCCTGTCTATATGTGACGCAAACTTCAAAGAAATATGTACCTGCACCCCTAGGTCACTTTGTCCTACAACACTACCCAAGACTCTATCATTAATAGTATAAGCCTTGTCCGTGTTTCTTGTACCAAAATGCAATATCTCGCATTTATCCAGATTGAGTTCCATCTACCACTTTTCAGCCCATAGCCCATTTGATCAAGATTCCTTTGTAATCTTAGGAAGGTTTCTTCACTGTCTACAATGCTACCAATTTTGGGGGTGTTGACCTCCAGCACAACCGTTGAATCCAAGCAAGATTGAAAGATGATTGTCAGTGCCTGTGCAATTTCCACACTCACTTCTGTCAGTATCCTTGAATGTATCTCAACCAGCCCTGGTGCCTGATCAAGTACTATTTGCTTGTCTAAAATTTCCTCCTTCTCAATCTTAAACTGTTCTATTGACTGTGTTTTCTTCTCTAACACTTTGGCCTAGGCAACATCTGCTTCATGGGTAAAGACAGATGCAAAGTATTCAGTTTTTTTAAAAAATTAACTGTAACTCTGGAAATGAGAGGGATGGATGAACTGAAGAAAACTGCAATCACCAAGTAATGACCAAATTGTTGAAGCTGTGGGCTGACAAATCCTAAGGGACTTCATCTTTGGGCTAGTGAAATAGTCAATGTGATAGTCAATTTAATTTTCCAAAACTCCTGAGATTCGAGGAAGGTTCCGTTATATTGAAAAATAGGAAATATATCTCCATTATTTAAAAAGGGAGGATGATAGAAAGCAGGAAACACCAGTCTAGTTAACTTAACGTTTGTCATCGCAAAGATGTTAAAGGTTGTTAGCAGAGTACTTAGAAATGTTCAAGGTAGTCAGGCAAAGTCAACTTAGTTTTGTGCAAAGTAAATCATGTTTAACAAATTTATTAGAATTCTTGGAAGAGGTAACATGTGCTTTAGAAAAAGAGGTACCAGTAGATATACTGCACTTGGATTTCAGCTGAACGGTAGGAGACATAGGGCAATGGTAGAGGGTTGTTTTTTTGAACTGGAGGCCTGTAACCAGCAGTGTTCTGCAGTCATCCGTGCTGGGTCCAGTGTTGTTTCTCATTTTTATGTAAATGATTTGAATGAAAATATAGGAAGCATGGTTAGAAAGTTTGTGGATGACACCAAAAGTGGTGATATAGTGGACAGTGAAGGTAACTGAAGTGTACAACAGGATCTCGAACAGTTGAGCCAATGGGCCAAAGACTGTCAGATGAAGTTAAATTCAGCTAAATATGAGGTGTTGCATTTTGGTAAGTCAAACCAGGGCATGACTTGCACAGTTAATGTTTGGGCCCTGGATAATGTTGCTGAACAGAGAGACCTAGAGGTGCAAGTATGTAGTTCCTTGAAAGTGGCCTCACAGGTAGACAGGGAAGTGAAGAAGACATTGGCATGCTTGCCTTCATTGGTCAGAGCATTGAGTATAAAAGTTGGGACATCATGTTGTGGCTGTACAGGATATTGATGAGGCCACTTTTGGAGTATTGCACACAGTTCTGGTCATCCTGCTATAGGAAGAATATTATTAAATTGGAAAGAGTGCAGAAAAGATTTACAAGGATGTCACTGAGACTGGAGGGTTTGAGTTAAAGGGAGAACAGCACGATGGCTCAGTGGGTAGCACTGTTGCCTCACAGTGCCAGTGACTCGGTCTTGATTCTACCCTCAGGCAACAACTCCTGTGTGGAGTTTGCACATTTTCCCTGTGTCTGCATGGGTTTCCTCCAGGTGCTCTGGTATCCTCCCACAGTCCAAGGATGTGTAGGTTAGGTGGATTGGCCATGCTGAATTACCCATAGTGTCCAGTGATTTGTAAGTTTAGGTGGGTTAGCCATGGTAAATGCAGGGATAGAGTAGGAGGGTGGGTTCGGGTTGGATGTTCTTTTGAGGACCGGTGTGGACTCTGGGCCGAATGGCCTGCTTCCACACTTTTTAGGGGTTCTGTGAGAGGCTGGATAGGTTTTGATTTTTTTCACTGGAGTGTAGGAGGTTGAGGGATGAACTTGAGGGTTTATAAAATCATGAGGGGCATAGATATGGTAAATAGCAAAGATCTTTTCCCTAGGGTTTGGGAATTCAAAACTAGAGGACATAGGTTTAAGGTGAAAGAGGAAAGATTTAAAAGGGACCTGAGGGGCAACTTTCCCACAGATAGTGTTGCGTTTCTGGAATGAACTGCCAGAGGAGGTGGGTACAGTCATAATATTTAAAAGACATCTGGACAGGTAAATGAACAGGAAAGGTTTAGAAGGATATGGGCCGACTGCAGGCAAATGGGACTAGTTTAGTTTGGAAAACCAGGTTGACGTGGATGAGTTGGACGGAAGGGCCTGTTTCTGTGCGGTGTGACTCTGTGACTCTATGATAAGGTGCCACATCAAAGATTATTGTTGAAAATAGAAGCTCTTGGTGTAGGGAGGCACCATATTAGCATAGATTGAAGATTAGCTGGCTAACAGGAAACAGAACCGTCCTAAATGGGTCAATATTCTGTTTGGCCAGGTGTCTAACTTTTTTGTTTGATAGTCCAGCAATCTGTTCAATCTGTGTGTCACAGAGATCAATGTTGGGGCATCAATGTTTTACAGCTTATATAAATGGTGTGGATGAACAGATCAGAGGTATGATTGGTAAATTTGCTGATGACACAAAGATAGGTAGGAAATTAAGTTGGGAAGATGACCTAAGCTGGCTACAAAGGGATAAAGATGTTTAAGTAAATGAGCGAAAAGCTATAAAATAGGAAAATATGAAATTGCCCATTTTGGCAGGAAGAATATAGAAGATTCATATGGACTTAGCAAACATGGCAACCAATTTACACAACAATTTTTGATAGTGTTTCTGGTGATCTTTATTAACGGTGATTCACATTTTGACATTAAGAATAAGAATTGTGCCACACAATCAAATAATAGAAATGGCTTAAGTGGCTGAAAAACCTATTCCTGTTACTATATCCCTAACAATCTTTTCTTATCCCGAAATCCCCTCTGTCGATTCCACTCTCATGGAGGAATTTTGTTTCGCGATGGCCGATATCTCATACATTGTTCCTTTCCTAAATAGATCACCCAGTGAATCACCACCACGGAAGTCACATAAAGGACGGAGTTGCTGCAGCTCTCGTAGCATCTCTGCATCTTCAGTGCACAGTTCCTCCAAATCTCTGAGCAGGTTAGTGTGTTCCGTACTGCTGCAGTACTCCATTATTCAGGTGCAGTCTGTTTCCACATTTTTCCACAATACCCATTTCTTACTTGAGCATGGATATAACAACCCATTGTAAACAAATTCTTAAAACCAACAATCTGTCGAGAAAATATTGAAAACAATCCTTACTCTGGCCATAGCCTCCTATAAAACCTAGCTTCCTGATGTTTTTGCTTGCTCATGGGAATTCACTGTCCAGTCTATTATTTGTTCCCTAACACCAATTGGTCTGAAGAAGGAAGTGGTAAGCTACCTTCTTGAATTGCTACCTTTTATTAGGTTGTAGGGACTCCCACAATACTGTTAGAAAGGAAGTTCCATGACTTTAACATTTGCCAAGACTATTTCATTATAAAGTCCTGTGTCTGTACTTAAAATACAAATTTCTCCCTTTTTGTGTGGGATTTACATTCTATTACTGTTGCTGTGCAGTACTTCCTCCTTTGCATCTCCCATCTTCTAAACCTTTATTAACAAATAGGTGCAGTGCTAATGTTCTACCCCCTGAGCCAGGAGGTCTGGGTTCAAGTCCCACTTGCTTCAGAGGTGTATAATAATGTCACTGAACAGTCTGACGAGAAAGTATTAGCCAATTTTCTTCCCATCCCTACCTCCAAAATTGCTGCAATTTTTGTTATTTATAATATGATATCTTGGTATTATTTAAAATTACTTTAAAACAGAAGTTATACTGTGCCAACATGCACTGGTCCAAGTTTATCTATTGCATTGAATAATTATATTGTAATATTGAAGTATTTTATAAAAATGACAATAAAAAGTATAGATTTCAAAATCGGACTGCATTCTGAGAATTCAAATGTAGATGTGCATCTTGGTTCAATTATTACCCGCTGTCTAACCTTGCTTCATCCGAAGCCCTCAGTTGGAATTGAACTATGTGTGCAATACTGTGGGGAATTAACTAGCTGTATTAAACTGTCTTGCTTATGTCATTCACCTCCTGTAAATGTCATGCTTTCTTCAATTCCTCTATCAGATTTTGTTGTTAATGCAAGTGTTCATACCATAGGGGATATCCTCCTTGTATTGTGTGCAATACCATGGAAGCTGTGTTCACTTTTAATTAACAAAAAGTTTGTTGGGACAACATACAGTGAGCTCAATTTCATCAAGCAAAGGAAAAAAGATATTAAAGAAAACTGAAAGGCAGCAAGTACCAGGGGACCCAAGTTCAGAATCTTAAAATTAGAAGCAAATTGTGGTTGGTGTCTTGAGGCTGAAGTTGTATTTTTTTTTGTTTAGGCTGCACCTTCTCTTGCCACAATTCGAGTGAATGGAGTAAAGGGATTAGTAAGGTGATCAAGGGTTATGGGGAGAAAGCGGGAGAATGGGGTTGAGAAACATTTCAGTCATGATTGAATGGCAGAGCAGACTCAGTGGGCTGAATGGCCTAATTCTGCTCCTGTATCTTATGGTCTGTTGGGATGGGGTGGACTTAAAATATCAACTTAAAAAATAGAAGATTAAAAGCAAAATAATGCAAATATACTCAAATTATATTGGTCTGGACTTGGAGAATTTGAGACAGCAAACTGTTAGCATTTCCCATCATTACCTCTCTGAATCTGATCTCAATTTCATGATTTAAGCAAATGAAGATTAATATGGATATCCTGAAGTTTCACGCTGTCCTTCAATGTTCTGCCTCAGGCTGCATCATGTACTCCTCACTGCCCAACCCCTCAGCACCATCACCAGGAGCTGGCAATGTGAAATCAGTTGATTTGGTGAGAATTTCTTCTTTTCCACTCTCATTTTACCACTAGAAACCCATAAAGCTGTAAGCCTTGTTTCCTAAGGTGTAATTGGATGCTTCATGACAAAGTGATGCCACAAAAATGGGGAAGCCTAGTGGTTTTATCCAGAAACTCAGCTAATGTTCTGGAAACCTGTGTTCGAATGCTGCCACAGCAGATGATAGAATTTGAATTCAATTTTAAAAATTCTGGATTTAAGAATCCACTCAAAGAATCTACATGAAATTGTTGGAACAACACAACTGGCTCACTAATATACTTCAAGGAAGGAAATCTCTCCTCGTTACCTACATGTGACTCCAGACCCTCAGCAGTGACTCTCAGCTGCCCGCTGAAATGACTTAGCAAGCCACTCTGTTGTATCACTTGCTATGAATTGTCAACAAAGAAATGAAACCTGACGGACCACCAGACATCAAGCTAGGCACCGGAACAGACCTGTTGACCCTGCAAGGTCCTCCTTCGTAACATCTGGAGCCAGTGTTAACATTGGAAAAGTTGTCTCACACACTAGTCTGGAAAATTGCCCAAGTTTGTCTTGTACACAAATCCAACCTGGCCAATTACTGCCCATCTGTCTACATTTGATCATCAGTAAAGTGACGGAAGGAGTCATCAACAGCGCTATCAAGCAGCACCTGCTCAGCAGTAACCTGCTCAGTGACGCCCAGTTTGGGTTCCAGCAGGGTCACTTAACTCCTGACCTCATTACAGCCTTGGTTCAAACATAAACAAAAGAGCTGAATTCCAGAGGTGAGATGAGAGTGATAGCCCTTGACATCAAGGCTGCATTTGACCGAGAGTGCTATTAAGGAGCTCTAGCAATACTGGAGTCGGTGGGATTTGGGGGCAAACTCTCCACTGTTTGGAGTTATACCTGGCACATAGGAAGATAGTTGTGGTTGTTGAAGATCAGTCATCTCAGCTGCAGGGTATGTCTGCAGGAGTTCCTCAGAGTAGTGTCCTAGGCCCAACCATCTTCAGCTGCTTCATGAATGACTTTCCTCCATCATAAGGTCCAAAGTGGGGATGTTCGCTGATGATTGCACAATGTTCAGCACCATTCACAACTTCTCAGATATTGAAGCAGTTCATGTCCAAATGCAACAAGATCTGGAGAATATCCGGGCTTGATCTGACAAGTGATAAGTAAGGGTCACACCACACAAATGCCAGGCCATGACCATCTCCAATAACACACAATCTAACCACCTCCCCTTAACATTCAGTCCTGTTCCCATCACTGAATGCCCCACTGTCACCATCGTGGGGGTTACCGTTGACCAGAAATTTAACAGACTCACCACATAAACACAGTTGCTACACAATCGGGTCAGAGGCTAGGAATACTGCGGCGAGTAACTCACCTCCTGATCCCCCAAGGCCTGTCCATCATCTACAAGGCACAAGTCAGGAGTGTGATGGAATACTCCCCACATGCTTGGGCGGATACAGCTCTAACAACACTCAAGAAGCTTGACACCATCCAGGATAAAGCAGTCCACAAATATCCACTCCCTCCACCACCAGTTAGTAATAGCAGCGTGTGCCATCTATAAGATACACTGCAGAAATTCACTAAAGATCCTCAGACAGCACCTTCCAAACACAGGATCACTTCCATCTAGAAGGACATGGACAGCACAGGTTCCTCTCTAAGCATTCAGAATGTTGACTCGTAAATATATCTCTGTTCCTTCAGCTTCTCTGGGTCAAAATCCTGGCATTGCAGGTCAGCCTTCAGTACACGGACTGCAGCGTTTCAAGAAGGTAGCTCACCACCACCTTCTCCATGGCACCTAGGGATGGGCAAAAAATACTGGCCCAGCTAGTGACTCCCATGAGCCACAAGAGAATAAAAAAAAACAATTGAACTAGCCCTGAGAAGTAGAATGTTGTTAAATTTCTTCATTATGATTAATTGCTACAATTTGTAAGCATAATTTTTTATAAGTTTTAACATTTGTTCAATCTCTAATTAACTGGCAGAATCGTATTGGGGCTTCATGAATGAATAAAAAAAGTTCCCATCTTCTGCCTAACAGCAAAATAGTGTTATGTTAGGATGGACTGTGTAACTTTCAGGTGGTGGATCTATTAGGTGTTCCTAATAATGTGCTGCCTATTTTCTTTTATGTGGTAGAGTGTAGGAGTTTGGAAGATATTGTTGAGGAGCCTTGGTCAGTTGCTGCAGTGCATCTTGTAAATGATACACACTGCAGTCACTGTGAGTCAGTGGTGAAGGAAGTTAAGCATTCAAGAAGGTGAACGGAACATTGATCAAGCAGTGCTTTGTTATTATTAAGCGCCTCGAATGTTGCTTGGAGCTGTGCTCCTCCTGGCAGTTGGAGAGTATTCTATCATGTTCTTGATTTGAATCTTGTAGATGGTGGACAGGCTTTAAGGAGTCAGGAGGTGAGCTCATTGCTGCAGAATTCTTGGTGTCTGACCTGTTGCTGTAGTCACTCTCGCTAAGTCAAGTAGACCTTATTTGTGTGGGGTTGTGGGGTAAGAATTTTTAACCCAACCCCCTTGTTGAATTTGGATTGGCTCCTATCCAATACCCGATCTTACTTCTGTTGGAGACTAAGGCAAGAAGACTTGAAATGTCACCTTCTTTCCAAGGGGTTCAGGTTCAAATAACACCCAGAAGTAAACTAATCGTCCGAAATAATGATCATGGTTTCTTCAGTTCGGCTGTCTATGGCTTGAATGGTCTCACACACAGTAAGTAATTGGTGTCATTTTGAAACTGCAGTAGTATGACAACTTAAACTGTTTAAGTGGGGAGACACTGCAGAATATATCACTGAAAATTGGAAGTCAATTTGAACTGTATTCTCTGACTAAAAGGTGGTCAGGGTTGATTTACTGGAATTCAGTGGATCCATCTAATCAGCCACTGATTTGTATTTTTGATTCCCGGTCTTCCAGCTGCCACAGCCGGTCGTCTGAGCGCAGAACATCACACAGCAAGAACAAGCAGAGTGCTATGCCCAGGCAGAGCCCCAGGAATGATACTAATGGACGGAAACCATGTTGTGCTCGATCCAGTCCCAATCAATCCCCACTGCGAGCTCGGCACAGCAGATCAGTGACTCCCAGGCAGAATGGGCACAAGGGAGCTTCGTGGAATGGCAGGCATAGTCCAAGGCACAGGCATCGTCCAGACAGATCACAGGATGTACGTAATCTTTTCCTTCTCTTCTCTGCTTTATCTCTCCCTCTTTCTCTTGCTTTCTCTTTCTTGGTCTCTCTGGGAGCTGTGAAGTCAGTTTCTGCTCAGAATCTTGTATGTGCTCTCCATTGTCCACCATTGTTTTCGATTTCTCATTTCCATCTGAGCCGCATTGTGCAGTCATTAAATACCAAGAATTACTTGTAGCAGTAAAACACTTGAGAAGAGAACCCAAATTTCTACAGCTGTAATTTAGCAGAGAATGTGTAGAGTTCCCTTCTCTCCCTACAAATAACATTCACTACTCTGGAAAATGTAGACCGAGCTGGAGATGAATTCAACTGAATATAATTCAAAGGGTTTGATAGAGTTAAAGTGAATTCTAAAGTAGACTTAGTCAGAGAAATCTGACCTTTTGCTAAAACATGAGAGGAAACATTTTGCATCATTTGGCATTTGTGAAATAAATAAACTGGGATTATTCTTAGAGAGGGAAGTTTAAGGGGAAAATCAATAGAGATCTTCAAAACTCTGAAGGCTTTTGATAGGATAAATGAGGAAGGATTCTTTCCACTGACAGATCCAAAGGACACAGATCTAAGATCATTAGCACAAATGCCAGAGGCGAGACGAGGATAAAAAAAATCCACAGCGGGAATTGTTATGTTCTGGAGTACGTGCTCAAAAGGGTTTTGGAAGCAGCTTCAAAAGAAACATGCAAAACAATAATTCGATCAAGGCTCTTGTGGTCTTGAAAATGAAAAAAGGAATTTTGTAGGCTGAGGGTAAAGCATAACAGCAGTGGAACGTATTAGGCAGATCTTCCAAAAAGACAACATGGGCAACATGATGGTCTAAATGGCCTCCTTCTGTCATTCTATGGAACAGACTTTTTTTGTCATGAGCTGCCAACTGGTTTTGCAACAGCGACTCAGCAATAATGAGTGCACTCTGTCCTTGCACCCTATTAAACCACAGGTTCAAGTCCTCTGCAGGGAACTGCAGAAGTCTGGCTTGACAGCCTTCCCCAAAAACATGACATCCTACACCAATGCATTAAGCAACACCTATTTGTCTCATTTCAGTGCAAGGGTGGCAGGGGTTACATGGTCTAGTGCTTCATGTAATCCATTATTCATCTCTGTGAAACAAAATACAAGAGAAACCATCTGAAGGCACATGATAGTGAATGAAGGAGGTCTCCAGGGGCTACAGCTAGTCAAACAGACATCACTATTTTTATTGGTAATTCCTCATCTGCCACCATTTTCAATGTACTGATATATGCCTATTGGAAAATTATGAGATGGTATTCTGTACCAAATGTATTTCAATAACTGGAATGGCAGACAGATGTACTACCTCCCTGGGTACATGACAGATTATACTTTATTTGATGGAACATGAGATGGTATCTAGAGTGCTCATGGCATAAGACATGGGTCATTCTCCTGATGCTGGTGTTTGTGACTTTTACAGGCCTTACCAGAACGGTTTACTAACAAGGTCTGTTCAATTTGTTGTTTATTGCATGAGGGTGATCATTTTGCAGCCCAGTAATTTGGTTATTAACTGAGATGTTAGGATCTAGAGGTGCTGCTACTCTATTGCAATTTGTCAGTACGCCAACATGCCTGTGTTTTGTATTCCAACGCACCAGTGTACCAACATGCCGGTATTCCAGTGAGCTGTGCAACATAGTGTTGGAGTCTTCAGTTTGCAGTTTTTCCCGTTCTGTTTTGAAGGGAATCTCATTCAGTCAATTTCTGCAAGCACTTAGTAAGAGCATCAGACAAATCTTGCCCCCAGAAGTGACATTGACCGAGGATTGGGAGTAAGGCCAGTAAGGAATTCACTCCCAACCAGGAGTATTTCAATATATAGGTGTACAAAGCCCTTTTTATATCTTTTCATCAGTACCATAAAAGTCAGCTGTGCAAATTTTTGTAGATGATCATTGATTGAAACAATTAGAACACATGTTACGTAACCACAGACGCTGGTAGATAGGAACATAGAAACTGCAAAGATCATGTAGTGGTAAAAATCAGTAATGCCCTAGTTGGTCTGTTGGTTCCTCAACAAGTTGGAAAGGTACTTGTAGAAAATAAATCTCAATTCCATTTCTTGTTCACTTTTTTAAAAATTTTGTTAAAGTACCAGTACCAGTTGATATATCTAACCAATCCCCAGTGCAGTAGCCGAGAAGTGAAACAAACAGCAGTTCTGGCTCACTCTCTCAGTACAGGCTATGCTAAGGAGTTCCCAGAACAGATGTAATTACTGGTACCACTCACAAGACATTTGTCACTCAAGTGCAGGTCAAAGGCTGACAATCCTGCAGCAAGTAACTCACCACCTCACTGTCCAAAACCTGCTCACCATCTATAGGATGCCAAGCCTTGGCATCATCCAGGTAAAACAGCTCACTTTAATCAGAACTCATCCACTGCTTCAAATGTCCAAACCCTTCACAGTCGAGATTTAGTGACAGCAGTGTACACCATGTACAAGAACCACTGCACTAAGTCACCAGGCCTTCTTCAATGACATCTTCCAGATCTGTGACCTCTCTTACCCAGCTAGAAAAGTGCAGCAGACACCTGGAAATACCACTGCCTGCAAGTTTTCCTCCAAGCCACACCATCTTGACTTGGAAATATATCACCATTCTTTCACTGTTTCTGGATTTAAATTCTGGACCGTAAGAAATAGCAGCAAGAATAGGCCATTTAGCCCCCTGTTTCCTGTGCTATCTCCATATCTCTTGATGCATTAATCCCCATCTTGAACGTACGTAAATACTGAGGTCTCGTGGTTATCTGGGGTAGAGAATTCCATAGGTTCACCACTCTCTGAATAAAATAGTCCCTCCTCATCTCAGCCCTGAATAGCTTTCCCCTTATGTTGCAACTGTGTTCCTTGGTTCTAGGTCACCCCTTCTACCCAGCCAGGGGAAATGTCTTTTCTACATCTAACCTCTCCAGCTCCTTAAGAATTGAGCAAATGTTTCAATGAGATCACCTGCCATTCTTCTGAATTCCAGGCTCAGTCGTCTCAATTTCCCCTAATAGGACAATCCCACCATCCCAGTCTGGTAAATCTTTACTGCATTCCTTCTCTGACAAGTGTATCCTTCCTTAGGTAAGAAGATTAAAACTGAATAACTACCCCAGGTGCTGCCTCAACAAGGTTCTATATGTTTTTTAAAGTTCATTCATGGGATGTGGGCATCACAGGCTGGGCCAGCATGTATTGCTTATCCTTAATTGCACCTTGAATTGAGTGGTTGGGGCCACTTCAAAGGCATTTCAGAGTCTAACATATGCTGTGGCTCTGGAGTTATTTGTAGGCCATACCAGGTAAGGATGGCAAGTTCCCATCCTGAAAGGACATTAGTGAACCATTAGTTTTTACAATAATCAAGGGTGGTTATACGGTCACCATGTAGCTAATGATTTTTTTCCCCCGTTTTTTTGAATTGAATTTACATTAGCCTAGTTCCCTACTTTTAAACCACGGAGCAGAAATGAAGTGAGCCATCTTTATCCCTGTAATTAAATCTTCTTGTGATAAAGACCAGCATATCAGTTACCTTCCAAATTGCTGCACCTAGATGTTACCTTTCAATGACTTGTGAACAAGGTCACCCAGATCTCTTTGGAAATCAACACTTCCCAATCTCTAATTATTTAAGAGATACTTTGCCACCCCCCTTCCTCCCACCAAAGTGTGTAGCCTCATAATTTTCCATATTATGTCCATCTGCATATTCTAACCCACTCACTCAGCCTGTCCAAATGCCATTGAAGCCTTTTAGTATCCTGCGCACATCACACATTCCCACCTAGATATATGTCATCTGCAAACTTTGAAATATTACTTTTAATCCCCACATCCAAATTATTGATGTAGATTGTGACTAGCTGGGGGCAACTGATCCTTATGTACCCCACTAATCACAGCCTGCCAACAGTAGAATGACCCAGTTATTCCTAGTCTGTCTTCTTTCTGTTAACCAGTCCTCAGTCTATGCCAGTACACTACCCACAACCCTATAGTAACCTATATGGAATCTTATCAAGTATCCTGAAAATCAAAATACACCATATCTACTGGCTCCTCCTTATCTATTCTGTTAATAACATCCTCAAAAATCTCCAACATGAAAACATAATTGCATAATACTGCTCTGACAGCAGTAACAAAATGCCATTGAGGCTTGAGACTTGCACAAAGAAACCGATCAGACACAAGAAATCGAAGAGCTGCTTCAGTTCAAATCTTGTCAGAAGCTAATTTCAGTTGTTGTCCCTTAGGAGAGTGGTAAACCTGACCTGAAACTCCTCATTCCAGGTTTGCCACTTTCAGTCAGGGTGCAGAACTTGGCAAGCATGCTCTGGGTATGGAATTAGGGCTCAAGTCTGAACTTTATTCAACTGATGCTTACAAAATTACTGTTCACTATATCCACATCCTGAATGGGAAATCCAAGCCCAATTACAAGAATTCCCATCTCCAGGGTTCTCCTCTTGGATTTTTTTCAGATATCCCATTCAAAAACTGTCTGATTCAAAGGGTGCCTCATCAGTCATAGCTGAGGGGGCTGAAGTGATGGAGACAAATCCACTTCAAATGCCCAACTGATGGGAGTGGTGGCAGGTAAAACATTACCAGAGGATTTTTGTGGGATATGATTTGAAATCCACATGGGATTAAAATGAAATATAAAAGAGATTTGCTCGCTTTCTTTTTCCATCAAGTAGGGTGCTAACAAATGTATCTATTTATGTTATTCCACGACGCCTTGCAGGTAAGGCAATGGTTATTGATTGTTGTGGGTGATGTGCTTTGAATCAATGTGGCTCAGCTCATTGTGGTCTGATGCCTTTTGCTGAAACGCAACAGTTTCCATCTTTACCCTGCATGGTGCAGGAAAAGTATTCAGTGGGTGTTCAAGGTTTTATAGATTTTACAAAACACGAAATATAAGTATTCATTGTAGC